AGCCGAAACACGTCCGCAGCTGGCAAAAGGCCTTTCCTTGGTCCTCCACGACGAACGACAACTCGCCACCATCGTCGTCGTCGGTCCACCTAGCGGGAGGCCTGCCTACACTTCGTCTTCCGATCCGTGGTCTCCACTTAAGGACTTTCCTGGCCCATCTGCTGTCCGACCGTCGAGCGACGTAGTCTACGCAATGCCACTTCAGTCTGCAGATTTTGCGAGCTATGTCAGTAACTCCAGTTTTTTTGCAAATTGCCATATTTTGGATTTTATCGCGCAAAGAAACCTCAAGAATAGCTCTCTCAATTGCGCGCTGAGCGACTTTGAGCTTCGTTCTTTAGTTATAGATATAAAAATAACAATAGTTTAAAGAATATTCTACAATATTCTTATGATCTTAGAATATTCTCATGACTTTAGAGAAAAATGGCAATGATAAAAAGGTTTTTACTTTAACTTCCTTCATTCTGACCTCGTCATCAAAACAGCGACTAACGAGGTGTTAAAAATAACAAAAAATGTTAAAGGATCCTCATCCCGAAAATATAGTCAGAAAATCGAGAGACCTCGTCACCAAATTATAAAAATGGCTTTTAAAAATCACAACGAACACTCTGACAAGAAAATTAATTACGGAAAAACGCAATTTCTCACAAAAATTGCTTGGCGCTTCCGTCCTTTCGGCATCGCTATGATAATATACGAGGGATTGAATTTTAATGGTATGGTAATGTATTTTTAATTTAGTTTAGTCGAAGTTATTTGTAATTTGTTTAAGATTTGTGTACATGTTTACTTGATTAAGTTATTTTGTGAACAAAGGTGTGCTTAATCTGGTTTGGGAGTTTTGTGTGGATTTAGGGTGAGTTTCAAGGTCATCCTGCCTTAGTCATGTTTAGGGCAAATTTTACTTTGATCGAACTTGTTTGTCAATGATAGAATTATCACACGTTAATGAAACCGAATTTATCGGATGAGCTCCCGTTGACCATGCCTGTTCTTAGCGCTGATAAAAACATTAAACTGTCAAACACCGCGAGGACACCGGTGTCCGCACACTTATTGTTCTTTAATTGTGTCTATAATCACAGTAGTCAAAGGGTTAAATGGGATTATTAATAGGTATCATAGGAAAAATCTTTGCCTTAACACACCTACTTACTTTTACTTCCCTCATTTATCAAAGATTGATTTTATTAGAATCTTTAAAGATAAGAAACAAGTCTATTACCATCCATATACCTGTTTAAACTTATCATTTCAATCCTATACACCATTCAGCCACCAAGGTATTAAAGATGTCCAAATCTAAAATAACATTACATCACTCCTTTTACCCCAGAAGGGTTAGGCAGACGTGCACATTACGGCACATAATGCCACTGTACAATGTAACATCTACTTTTCACTATTAATGTTACGAGTAACAGTAACATGGGGTGAGCCTATTTCTATATACCGGACACAATTACAGACGCCGTACTAATACGGAGAATTAAGAAAAAATGCAGTAATACTTTGCCCAACCCGGGAATCGTCCATTGTCCGGCAGTCGCACTTGCGATCATTTGGCCAACGAGGCAGTCACGGACGAGTCATTCCAAATCCAAAAATATGTTGTTATTCTGGTCCCCTATCGTAACTTTGCTTAGTCGGCAGTTGTGTTTACGACCAAAACTCTACGCAGCCTTCTCCATAACGTCTGAAGATAAATTCGCATCTTCAAAGTCTTTAAAGTATTATAATGTTTCAAGTTGACACAATAATAAATTATTGTGAATAAATTCTCGGTTCTGCTTTTATCTTTGTTATTAATGGTGAGAAGATATTAATTTTGTTGGCAGTTGAGATTATGTTTGTTAAAGCTTTGCGTATTTATTTACGTAGTGTAGGTCTTTACGACTTTATAGGTGGAGGGGTGTTACAACTCGTCATAAGTTATTTTTTGCCTTTTAGGTCAATCTTTATATTAAACTAGCTTCTGCCCACGACTTCGTACGCGCAATCCCGTTTTCTCCCATTCCCATAGGATTTTCAGGATTTTTTTCTTCTGAGAAACCTTCTCCTGACAATAACAAACACAACAAAAAAAAAATCAGCCAAATCGGTCCAGTCGTTCTCAAGTTATGGCGTGATAACGGGAAACGGGTTTCATTTTTATATACCTATATAGATTTTCATATAATTAAAACGAATTTGTTGATTCCATACATTTATTCTATTATCTTGTTCTGATACAGTGTATAAACAGGGTGTTTCGTGATTTCATGTTTTATAAAAAAAATACAATTTGGTAAAATAATACAATTTACAGAATACAGATACAAAAAGTAAATGTAAAAATAATAAAAATGTAAGTGAATGAAAGAAAGACTTTTAAAATTGATTCTATTCTAATAAGATTTTTATAAAACATAAAACCAAGGATAGAAATTCATTATAGATTTAAAATACACGTTACAGAGTGACTAGAGTTTGACTCCAATCTACATAGTTTGGCACCTTTATACTAAACTTTATATCAAATGTTTTGAACATACATTAATAATATACACTTACATACTAACAACTACTTATATTATGACACTACAAGATGTTACGTCCATAAAAATATAACTTTTCGTGTGGTTAAAATGTCTACGGATAAATTATGTACTTGTAGCAGACATTTTTTTGGTTTAAAGACATTTTGTTAAATAGTAATTTTTCTATCTTTATATATATAATTCTTCTGTGAGTGTGTATGTCACTGAACTTCTCTCAAACGACTGGACCGATTTTAATGAAATTTTTTGTGTGTATTCAAGGCGATCTGGGAATGGTTTAGATTCACAAATCAGCCCGGCAGATGGCGCTGCAGTCAGTGTCTAGGTTAGGTATTCTAAACGGCTGAACTAATTTGAATGAATTTTTGTTTATACATTCAAGTGGATATGCAGGACAACGTCTGTCGGGTCCGCTAGTGTATTATAAACTTCAGAAGTGTAATGTGTAATACTATAGATAGATTTTTATTTTTATTTTTAACCGACTTCAAAAGAAAAGAAGTTTCTCAGTTCGACGTATGTATGTAATTATGTATGTATGTATGTATGTTTGTGCGTGATATTCTCGCAATTAGCTGAACTGTTTATTACACACATATCAATTAACCAGTATACCAGTATATCAATTAACCGACGTCAAAAAAGATGAGATTTTTTAAACGTAATTTCAAAAGATATATTTTTTAATATTTACCACACCAAAAGTTATATTCAAATTTAGTAACAACCTGTAAACAAAATGTTTGGTTCGAGAGATCTAGACCGTTGCGGTCGTACAAAATAGTAGACCGAAAATGTAGATACTTTTCTAAATAGTCCCTGTATCTTGTTCTCTACTTACCTCTTTACGATTAAAACAGTAGTAGTACACAGTAAAAATGAAAAACGAATCATATAAGATTCTTGTTTTAAAAAAGAAAACACTTATCTAGGCATGAAAATTTTCGGTTTTAATTATTTCACAGTTTGATGAATAAATTATTTATAACTGTCATTAAATATATAGGTATAATGTCTTTGTTATTATGCTTATTAAAACTATCATTTTTCCTTCATGTGGTTGTTGACATTGGCTAAATGGATATTATACATATTAGCGTATTATACAAAGTCTGTTGGTATTACGTATTCCTCAATAATATTGTGACAATATACACTGACATATAGGCCGAACAAATACATTAATATCATTAGCAAAGTCAATATTTGTATCTATGAAACAATATTTGTATTTATCAGATATATTAACAATATCAGATCATTAAAACTTTCGTGAGATAGATGTAGTACATTAATTATTATGTTTTCGGCTTACTCACGTAACTGTTTGACGAGGAACTCGACTAGTTTCAAGCCATGCTAGAGGCTCATATTCATGAGCAGCATTCCGTGACCCACGACGCGACGACACGGTCGCGCTGCTACTGGCTACTCGAATCTGCTGCGATGCGGGCCCAACGCGCCCTTTGCCGTTGCGGGGGTCGCTAAATGCTGCTCATGAATATGAGCCTCTAACGTAGCTCGAAACTAGTCGAGTCCTCGTCAAACAGTTGCGTGAGTAAATCATAAATATTTAATAACAGATCAATTAAATGAAACAAAATTAATTATATAATAATATTATTTCGTTACTCGTTTCCTTTCTTACTTTTTTGTGGTTTCGTGTACCTATTTAATTTTATTTCGTTTATTGTGTTGTGTTTCTCTTCGTGTCAAATGCCCAATATATATACTATCGGAATTGTGTATTATTACTTTTTCATTTGATTGATTTCTATATCGGTATAGTAATTAGAGATAGTGAATTTGTAATGACTTTATAATATAAATTAATAAGGTTTACCCGTAATTGAAAATACACGTTTATTTACAAGCTTCGTATAACAGTATACACGAATATTTATTTTCTCGTCATTGCAAAAGTCAGTGTTGAATATAAGAAACAATAGATTCATAAAGTTATTAAGCTAACATTAATTTAGTCATACAGTTCATTTTATATTATTATATTAAAACGTTAAAATTAACATTATTATATTCAATTCGTTTAATGTCATCTTATGTCTAAAAATGTTCACAATTATTAAAATTACACAGTATACATGTACGTACATATAAAATATTATACATAGTTTCATTAAAATTACTGACCACCATAAGAATCTTTTGAAAAATACTCAACTTATTGCATGGGTCGATGAGACATTTCGGAGATCGACACTAATGTAATGTAATTGTCATATTTTCATTTTCATTAAAAAATAATGCTCTCAACAATGCTGGCGACGTCGGTTGTTGCGCATGTTACTACTGCTGTTGTCTATGGGCCCCGGGCGTGGCTTGAAACCGGTTGAGATACCTCGAACAGTTACATGATAGAGCCACATAACTATATATTCAGTCGAGTAATTTTCAAAGAAATTCAATTACGGCAAACGACGTTGGTTAATAAGTCTACAAGAAAGTATCATCCCGTCTTCGTTGCGGTGGATGGCAGTTGTTGTTGATCTGTTGGTCGGGCAGATGTAAACGAACCTTTTTGGAGTTTGTGCTGTTGCACTGGTGTAGACGCTGCTTTGGAAACTTCACGCTGTCGTCTTTTACCTGAGTAAAATTTAATATTGTTAACATTGCTTATCACTGCAATAATGAACTTAAAAAGTCACCTAAATGTATGTACCTATGCTCATAATTCCCGGACCACTGAATAAAATTGTATAAATATTACTTGTCGTGAATAAGTGTGAGAGAGCAATGCTTTCACAGAAGACCGACATGAAACCACGCTTAGGTTGTGTTTCGTCGTGTGAGTAAGGCTTATCCCATAAAAAGATCGGCACATTCACCGGAAAATTCGAAAACTGCGTTCCAGTGTAGCTGGGGCGGGTGGTAGTTTTAGACAAATCAAAATTTTAAATTTAAATCATTTTTTATGTTTTCGCTTAAATATTGGAAACTACTACATACCGTCAATGAAAAGGACAAAATCTAATATCGAAAAACTGTTATCCTGGAATCAATCAAGCGATGAAGTCGAAGTAATAAAACTAGAGAAGTAGGAATTTTAATATTCCGAGAAAAAGTTCTTTGGAAGTTGGATTTCGAGGAAACTTTTCCTGCAAATTGATGTGATAGAAATTCTTCGGGTCAATAATTTATTGGAGTAGATGACCTTGAACATATTGATCTTGTTAATTTTTTGGGATTAGGTCGACATTTTTTACAACTTTAATTTATGTATATTGGAGTTTTTTTGCTAGTAAGGGACGTAATGCTGTTTGGGATAGTTTTGCGTCGCAGGATATTTTTACGGTTACAGCATGCGTTTATGGAGATAAAAGGACACTCCTTTTTGTTTCTACTAAAAATCAGATTTAACCATTAGGCGCAAATAAGCTGCAAGAACAGACACTTTTTGGACAACAAAACAGAAGCCCAAAGGAACAAGCAAAACATATTCTTCATTTTCAATTCTAAGCTTATATTGCTAGAGTATCTATTCGAAAAACCAATATGTCTACATTTTAAAGTGAAATTGGAGACAGACGAAATTGTCCACAAGCCGAACACTGGCTTTGTTTTCTTTGAATCCAATTGTCTGCACTGGTTTGCATGTTTCTAAAATAGTTACAAACCAAGTTGGGGGTTGAATGTACAACTTCTAAACAATACCAATTAGATGGAACGAGACAAATGGTTTTTATTCTGGATGGATAGAAATTGGAGTTTGGGATTGTGTCCTGTGTATAGCAATAATCTAACCTCCTATTGTATGGGACTCATAATATAATTGGTGAAAAGTGGTTGTTACATTTTTTATGAACACATTTCCATAATAGGGGGATTAAAAAGGCTGACTTTATTGTTGCTATGTTCGATGGAGATTATTGCAATTGAACTTTTATTTCAAAAGCTGCTTTTTTTTCAAATGGACTTTGAACTTTTATTTCAAATGGTGACGCCTTCAGTCCTACGTACCAAATGTTGAAATAACCGAAATATCCTTCCGTTTGTGATGAAGCAATTTATGCGCGAGTCGAGTAGTGCGTTTGAATTCATACGACTTATTTTTGTGTGACGCTTTTGAGATGGATTCTTGTCAGAAGTCAGAATAGAGTGTAGTGTAATCACTGATAAACAATAGTTGTAGTAGTGCGCCCTAACAGGGTAATGTACTGAATTAGTTGTATGTAATACTTCTTATTATATGTACATTGTACATTGTGCAATATGAATAAATAAATAAATTAGTTAAATATTAAATGTATTGATGAAGAAGTACAAAACTTCAATAGAAATACCCTTAATTATTTAAGACTTAACTATTTATATAAGACTGAATTATTCATCATCATCATCATCATTTTTGTATAATGGGTTGTGTTCCGCGGAATTGTTTAATACGATGCTCACGCCCCCTTTATCATCGCACGCTCATACATTGGAGCCCAAATGATCCCGTACAGTTCGGTTTAAGAGGAGTTTCCTTACATGGACCCTCCGATTGTGGAATGAACTTTCTGCCGTGATTTTTCCAATAAGCTACAACATCAAGAACGGAGTAAAGAGGTTTTTCAAGGGTCGGTAAGGCGCATGTAATGCCCCAAGTTTTGCAGGTGTATATAGGCCACGTTACCCGCCTACCATCAATAGGGCCGTATGCATGTTTTGCCACCGTCATGGTATAAAAAACTCGTTACTGGTAAGCGATGATACTGTCAACGATGAAGCACTCTGATGCCTTAGTACAAGTTTGTTTTACGTTTAAAGTAATCGTAACGAGTACGCATTCGGCGCTCTGATTGGTTGGTTCATTGGTGCCGGCCAATCAGAGCGCCGAACACAAACTTTAAATATTAGATTTTGAACTGATTCTATGTGTTATAAAGGAATTGCTAACAACATAAATGTAGGTTACAATCTCCCCTTCGGTGGAGAAATTGTTTAAACATTTCATTGAAGTTTCACGGTTCACGTGTCTTTCACTTACTACTGAAACATGCTTCAGCACACGTGACTGCCCCTAAAAACATGTCGATACTGTTCCCACCCACACGCTTAGAAAACTGTGCTTCTTTGAAATTATCTCTTCGATGTTGGAAATATAAAATTTCGTTCGAACTTGTGAATTTAGGTGAATGAGAAGTTTTTGAGGAGAAAACGAGTGAAATTTACAACTAAGTTAAAGTTGAGTTTGTGATTATGTAGGTAAACGCTGAAAGGTTGAATCGTCGCCTTTTTTTATGGCATATAAACGAGCAGACGGATCACATGACGGTAAACAATCGGCGTCACCCATGGACACCTGGAACACCAGAGGCGCTACAAGTGCGATACCAGCCTTTTGGGGATTAGGAGTTTGAGGATCGTTGCAGATTCAGGAATTGGGGGAGATTGGGAAGTGGAAGGTAATTGGGCCTCCGGTAACCTCACCCACACGATGAAACACAATGCAAGCGTTGCTTCACGTCGGTTTTCTGTGAGGCCGTGGTATCACTCCGGTCGTGCCGGCCCATTCGTGCCGAAAGCATGACTCTCCCACACTTGTGCCTGGTAACGGGCTTGGATTTTTAAGTCAAACTGTCAAAATTCTTATATTTTTGCGTATTCTCAGTAATAGGCCGTTTACAGTTTTGTCATTAGGCTTTTCCCCTATTACAAAGAACTTTAAACTATACTTACAGATATTTATTTGGCAGTTTTCTATGTCCTTTGAAAGTATAAAATGTCTAAAAATAATTGATACTTACTCGTATAGTCAGTTCATGCCTAGTCCGTCGATGTGATGACGTCAGCAGTTCAGTGTGTGCCCGCGATTCGTTGCCAGCAGGGCTGTCACTCGCTCTCACCCAACACCATAGCCATTTGTATGGAGGAATGTTCCTGTTTAAAAGAAAAATAATTTATACTTTTTAGTTATTATGTCCAACAATAATTATGTTCCATTTGTCACAATAGTTAATTATAATAGGCTTTCCGGTATTCTAAATAATCGACTATTTTGGCTAGACATTTATTTGTTACAACCTCAAATAATCCAGCGAATATCCTAAGAGGCGACTGAAAGACAATAACTATATGAGACAACAAGGCACTAAGTTGGCGACATCTAGTGAGCAAAATCAGAGGGAGTCACGATCCTCAGCAGTGAGGGAATCGACTAGGAAGAAACATGTAACTATTCTCGTATCACATAAACAAACTGTCACAAATGTATTAAACGTACTTAAATAATTAACAATTTTCAATCAACCGTCCTAATTAATTTCGTCAAGAAAGTTGTGGAGCACATACCAATTATCACGAGTTAATTACATTTGATATATGTACGTAAAAGCCAGAAATGTTTCTCAAATGTTTAATTAGAATATCTGCTCAATTTTAAGTTGAGAGCTTGAATTAATTTACTTAAATGTAATAAAGTTCCCATTTAATATTAGATATGTACACACGGCTACACGTCGAGCTTTAAATAACCAGTATAAACTGAACGTTAAATGTGCGCAAAGATGATGCGACGCGACACCAGGATAAACTGGTTTTGTATAGATTGATGTGTGGCCGTGTGTACATTATTATATAATTTTCTTTGTGTAATAAAATTATGATTGTACCTATTTATAGAGCTGCGAGCGTGGGTAGTGAGATATTGGTGAAAATGTAATCAAGTTTTATTTGCTTTAATTATCACGTTATAATTAAATATTCGTATAATTTGAATATTATGCTAATATTAAAGCGTGGACTTTATATTGGGATTTTATTCTATATTATTATAAAATTTTAGTACCTAGGTACTTTAATTTGAATTGAAAATGTCTGTGGCTTTGCTAAAATACGTTCAACGCAAAAAGAGTTAATAAGAGATTAGTATAATAAGTATAAGTATAGTAATAGGTATAAGTACCTGTAATGAATCATGATCTGTATGATTGTGTATGATTTTCGTTCGTGTTTGAGAAGAGTGATTTTTTATGGGATAAGCTGGTAAACGAGCAGACGGACCACCTAATGGTAAGCAATTGGCGTCGCCAGTGGAGACCCGATACAAGGTCATTACCGGCCCTTTGGGGATTAGGAATTTGAGGACTGTTGAAGATTCAGAGAAAGAAAATTATACAATAATGTACCTAAAATTAAAAGAGAACTTTATTACATTGGGTAGGAGGGAGGGCTAATTGGGCATCCGCTAACCTCATTCATACAACGTAACACAATGCAAGCGTTATTTTTTATTAAGTCGTGGTATAACTCCGGTCGAGCCGGCCCATTCGTGCAGAAGCATGACTCTTCTAAACTTAAAAATTTAAAGGCTACTCTTTCCATTAGACCACGCTGATGAAGACACTGGCAACAGCTATTGTACAATAAACAACTAGCATACAGCACAACACATAATGAAACAGCACTCCAAGGAAAATTCATTGCACACGACCGTATTTCACAGGAGACATTAAAGTAAAGAAGCAACAGATAGTCACTCAAACCGCAGTATACAAGACAAGTTTATGACCTCGAAAGCATAAACAGTTTAGTAGTTAAGTGCATTTTGGCGTCACAAACTCGATTTGAGTATCGTTAGAGTCTAGATGGTGTCGTTACAAGATATTTAAGACCTATTCTTGTTTTAAAAGGCTATTTCTAAAGTAAAAGCTTGTTTTGTTCATATTTATGGTATGGACAAACTATAGAGCTCCTTTTTGTGAATTTGCGTTGGTTTTTCGTCAAAGAAAAACATAAAAAAACTCTATAGATGGTTAAAAAATAGTAGCTATATTTTTGTTGTAGTATGTATTGAATATTATTATTTATGAAGTGAAGCTATATATTTTTATAGAGCAATCGTATTATTACTTAATTATAAATTAATTCAGCGACAATGAAAAACAATGTCAATTATCACGACTAAGGGTCGATTTTTCCAACGCCAGATATGTTTTAACTGAGGAATAACTTCAAATATTTGACAATTCTTTCATTCTAAAAACTGTCAACTGACAATATTATTCTACAGTAAAAGATAACTAATGATTAAAAGACAACCCTAAGTACAATATAATTCAATATAACCTTCACTTAACAATAACTAAACGAAATAGTGACAGAATCATATCAAGAAATCCAAATATCAAATCATTCCAAAACATCAAAGAGAATCATTCAAACGACCCATTTGTTAAGCATAAACGATAAATTAAGTCTAATTACTATTTATACCATTTCAGTTACTACTCAAAAAGTTTCAGTTTTAATTTCAGACGATTAACTAAGGTCGGCTCTAAGGTACCTACTGAAAATTTTCCTTCAGAATTAAGAGACTTTACTTAAGGACTTTGGTCATTTACAAAAAATAAATACCATAATTTACTCTGAAATTCTACTTTACTTTATTCAAGTGTAGGCTACCAAAGAAATGAGTTTATCTTACGAAATAATTAATGGAGTTACTGCAATTTTAAGCTTGCTTAAAAAGAGATACATTAGATTAAATAGACGTTTCGTGTCTTTTAATAGGTTTCCATGGTGTAGGCATTATGTGTTTACTAGATAAAGTACATAATTATTTCCATAAAATAATAATGTTGTAAATTTGTTTCAAAACTATCGTGGTATTAATGCCCAGAATCAATTTGAAAGCATTTCACTGTAACTGAAAATGGGCACTGTAATTTAGTGCTCAACAGTTAAAAGATTGTTAATATGAAATATTTCAATGGCGTATACTCATTTGATTTAAATAAACACAAATTAAATATGTCCACTGTTCAAATTACTATTTATAGTAGTTCAATACAGGTTAAGTTCATCAGTAATTCTTCTAGAATAACATCCCTTATATCGGCCTAGCAGTTAATACAAAGTACTAGAGAAAAATTCCAGATAAAAATACAAGTTCTCAGTACATTCCTTTTTAAAATTTTACCCAAGAAAACCCAAATTACCAAGATTAGTTTAATAAAACCTCATTTTATAAAGCACTGTATTTTTATACCGAGGTCGTATTTTAAAAGGTCTTTGCTTAAGATTATCCTATAAGGTGTTAAAACTTTGCAAATTGGGGCTTTTTGTCACCTAGATCAATTCTGGAAGGATTAGTATTGCGAGTTCGGTGTTACCTTGGCCCACCTTCCCATATTAAGGATAAAAATCAACCCATGGTAAGAATAAAACAAATATTTTATTTAGAATACTCTGTCGGCCTGTTGTTTTTGGGTATCTAGAGGTACAAATATTGAAATACTTTGTTTGGAAAACAATAAGCCTTATCCAAAAGGGATGATGACAGGGTATGAAAATTAAAAATCTAATTAGTCCGTCAGTTAAGTAATGAAAATATATTTGACACGTATTTTTTTATTTTGTCGTATAAGAAAACAATACTTAGATAAAACGGATCAAAGTTTAGGAGTGGGAGTAAAAACGACATTTCTACATATAAAACGTCTCTCGAAGTGACGTCACGTGACATTTCAAATTAAAATATCGTCGAAAGTATTTGTATCAGTAAAGAAATAAAAAATACATGTCTAATGTTTTAATTGTCTAATGTGATATTAAAATAAAAATTAGTGATCTACCCTATTGTCTTGAACTTTAAATGAGACGGTAACGGTACAAAACAAACACAATGATTACCTCGAAATTTCATCTCTAAATTGTAATCGTTGACTTGTAGTTTCTGTCAAAAAATTTTACTTTCAGGGTTGGTTTTTCCCCGACAGTAATCACTAAACACATACAACAGTAAATAATAGAAATAAAAAAAATCATAAACTCACCTTAGGCTAACAAATATCCTGTTAGAGAATATGAAGTATATGACTGGGTTAGCTGCAGAGTTGAGCGGTGCCAGGCTCTGGATGAGCGAGGCGATGGCGATGTTCCCTTGCGTGTCTGGAACGTAGCCGTAGACTTGCAGCAGATCGAAGATCATGTATGGAGACCAGCATAGCACGAACACTGTAGAAAAGGTTATTTGTTAGTAGATTTTTATGGGATAAAGAAGCAAACGAGCGCACAAATCACTAAAGGAAGTATAAATGCCGATGTAAAGTTGTGAAGACTAGAATTTGGAGTTTAGCTACATTCATTATACGTACACGCGGCCACACATCAATCTATACAAAACCAGTTATTCCTGGTGTCGCGTCGCATCGTCTTTCCGCATATTTAACGTTCAGTTTATACTGGTTATGTAAAGCTTGATGTGTAGCCGTGTGCACTTTCAGACTTATACAGGAAAAATCTTTGAACGGGAGTGGTGTATTGTAACAGTATTTTGTTTTCCATATATTGTTTTTTTTTTTTGTTAAAGGTGCTTCCACGTTCAACACGATAACACTTATGACAGCATGTAACATACTCTATAGCATGTCAAGCTACTACTACAGCTTTTGTTATAATTTGTTTAACCCGTCGAGCGTCCGCGTTCCTTATGATGCAACGGGTGCACAAGTGATATTTGGAGTATTTTTTCTTATGATCCACCGGGTGGTCATAACGACGCTCGAGGGGTTAAAAACAAATACAACATTTGTTTTTAACCCCTCGAGAACTTTAGATTTTTCTTTTATAATCTTGGTCTTCTAAACTTTTGCCTTCCAAATGAAAAATGTAGCTTTAAACTTGCTCCTGTAGATGTTTATTAATATTGAAACCACCCCTTCTAAGACTAAGATTAATATCTAGACCTACACTAAATAGTTTCAAGACCAATCTCGGTTAGTAACAATAGAAATGGCTCGTTAGAACCTCGTACATAATTGATTCATTATGTATCTGCTCCATTGGCTGACCACGTCAAACCGAGCGAAGAAAACTAATGATTAGGCTAGCCACTGTGACCATTGGATCGGGTAATTGTGTAGCTCTCAATAGATTTGGGTAAGGATTCTGTTCTATTGTTTCATATTATCATTATTTATCGAAATTGTGTTGAAGTGACAATGGTCAAAGCCAGACTTACATTATAATTAATTAATCTATAATCTTGAGTGCCTCATTGACTGAGTAGTCGCAAGTGCGACTGGGCAAGGGGTCTCGGGTTCGATTCCCGTGTCGGGCAAAGTATTTACATAATATTACGACTTGACTTTCCTTTAAAAATAAACATCTAGACATATTTAATCCGTTTTAACTTTAGTTAGAACTGAGTACTTCTCTAATTCAAAGAGCCATCAGACCACCACAGACAACAGTAAGGCTGATGCTCATTACGGATCTGCGGAAGACCTAACGGGTTGCCGGGGCTCCGACTCGAAGAGCAGGAGTAGGAACGGGGTGGGTTTTAGTCAGTAAGCGTATGACACTCCCTCTCGCCTAACCCAAGGCGGGAGAAGTAATTGGATGATTTTCACCTCTCAAAAAAAAGTACTTCTCTTATGAGAATAATATACAAAATATCACCTATTTACTCTGTCATGTCATGGAACTTCAGTTTGAATGAAAGATAGGATTACTGACGGAAATTACATTATGACAGTTTTAATCTTATTATCTTAATGGTCATTACCGAGACGTTAACCGTATAAAAACGAGTGTTCCCACATGTGAAATGTTAATGACATTTGAACGTTTTGTTTATTTAAATGGCAGATTATTTCAAAGCCCCTTTTTTGCACCTCGTTGGTTATTAGATTAAAAGATGAATCATGTGTTTAACGAGGGACGTAAAGTGACGGGGCAAATACAGGCTTTAGAAGGCAAATGCCCCACGAAAAGCACCATGGGTAGGGGTTATTTCGGGTAAATATTAACGTTGTATGTAAGAAATAAACATTAACAGGGGAATGGGATTAAATACAATGAACCATAGGTAATTGGGATATATTATTGTTTTGAGCCGCGTGTATTTGAATGTATAAAACCTTTTTGAATGATGTATGTATGAATAATTATGTCAAGTGTTTGTTGTGGTCTACGTCGCGTAAAATATTTGACCGTTGAGTTTCTAAGTAACAAATTAGGTAGACAAATAATGCATTGAGTTTAAGTTTTAAGATATCTAATTTTATCTAAACAGATAAATAAAACTGAAGTGAATTAAAATAACCGCTTTTTACTACATTCATATGAATATACCTACGATACACATACCAAAATAATGTTTTACAATTCTTGTCTGTCGGTCTGTCTGTCTGTTTGTACTGGCTAATCTCTGGAATGGCTGGACCGATTTTGCAAGATGTTCATTGGTAGGTAGCTGATGTATAAGGCGTAGCGTATGCTACTTTTATTTTGGAAAATTGGAATAAAAAAAGTTATGTTCTAAAATTCATATTCAACGCGGACGAAGTCGTGAGTAACACAACATAACAACCTCTACAAGTGTACTATAAAAATGTTTAGGTAATTAAATATATATACAACAAAATGTCAAATTAATTATGTATAATTTTTATAATGCGTACATTGTCATTAATTACGTTCTTTTGAGTCCTATGTCGAGGTATAAAGTAAATCCCAAGTAAGAACTTTCTAGTACCTAGAAGTCTTAAGTTCCTAAGTAAAGCAACTTGACATCAAACGGTGGAAACATTATGAAATACGTAAATGATCGTCTACAGTGCCTACTAACAATGTTCTTTTGAGATTAAACCATAAAGCCGTCCGGTTTTTTACAACGCAAGTTTTTAAAGTCTCCACGCTCGGGAGTGATTATCGTCGCGGATGGAATGTAATCTTTAAAGTTCTAAAACTTTCCGTGTCGATACTAGATAAAATGAACTGGGATATTTCTCGTGTAGAAGGAAGTTTTGATTATCTGATTGAATGAGTGTAGAAGGCTTGTGAGACAAATATGTTTTGGATTCATTTAGTTAATGTTTTCATGTTAAGGCCTGTAACTTTAATTCCTTTTTTTTAAGGGGGGAAAATCATTGAATGAGTCCTCCCGCCTAGGTGAGGCGGGAGGGAGTGTCAGACTCATACTGACTAAAAACTACCCTGTTCCTTCTCCTGCACGTCGACAGCCGGAGCCCCGGTAACTCGTCAGGTTCTCCGCGACTCTGAATCGGCATCGGCCCTATTGGGCCCCATCTGTGGTAGTCTAATGGCTCTTTTGGTACACGTTCAGTGATCTGATTGGTTGGCTCCAATGTCAAATAGTCAAAGTTATTCATAACACATAACATAGACAAAGACAAAGACAAAGATTATTTATTTGCAAAAACACGTGTTAAATAATAATACATCATAGAATGCACATTATTAGTTGTACAGATGAGCAGTGAGCATAGTATCAACATGTTTAACCATTTCTGGTGTACAAATGTGGAATATAATATTAAATCCAATTATAACAGTTATTAAACTTTTAAATTGTAACATTCCTATAAGAGACTCAAACCTCCTGACCAGGGACAACAAAGAAAAATTACAAACACTTGTCATTTACAAAGTCATGAACACTATAATAGCATTTATTAACTAGTAGTTTTTTCAACGCTTGTTTGAATAAGTTTAAATTTAATTTAATAATTTCTTTAGGAATTTTGTTATAAATTATGGGAGCCATACATATCACGCTTTTATGCATTAGTGCTGTTTTAGATGGGTGAATACATAGTCGATTGTTGTCACGTCGATTTCGTTTTACTTTATCAGCCAGAGTGGGAAATAAGTGAGAGTTGCTTCTAACAAACAGTGCTACTTCTAAGATATAGAGTGATGGCACTGTCAGCATTTTATGCGTTATAAATAATGGCCTACAACTCTCCGAACTCTGTTTACGGAACATGGCTCTTACGCACCGCTTTTGCAATTTAAATATGATGTCCTTGTTTGTCGAGTTACCCCAAAAAATTATACCATATCTCAGAGCAGACTCGACAAGACCGTGATATGCTGAAAGTAATGCCTCGATGTTAATTATTGGACCTAAGCTATACAGGACATACGATAAACTACTAATTTTTTTACTTAATGCGGTTATGTGCTCTTTCCAATTTAATTTGCTATCAATCGTTAAACCAAGAAATTTCGCATCAGTTACTTCTTGCACATTATAATTATCGTGAGTTAAATTTACATTCAGTGGATTACATAATCTTTGTCCAAAATGCATTATACTAGTTTTCGTCAAATTTATTTTTAAATTATTATTATCAAGCCATGAAATTACAGATGTCAATGAATTGTTAATGTCTAAATTATATTGGTAGATGTCATTACACGGAATTATAATTGTGCTGTCGTCGGCAAACAATGTCATAGGTTGAGTTATTGTTTTTGGCAAGTCATTTATGTAAATAATAAATAAGAGTGGCCCCAGAACGCTGCCTTGAGGAACACCGTAAGATATATCACGTGTTGTAGAGGTGTATGTTACCTCAGTTTTTGTACTTATATTAATTCTATTTATTTCAGTTACTTGTTTTCGGTTTGTCAAGTAAGATTGTACCAATTTCAAAACATTTCCCCTTATGCCATTGGCTTCAAGTTTATCCACTAGTATACCATGGTGCACATAATCAAACGCCTGTGACATGTCACAATATATTGAGCATACTGGAGACGATTTATCTACATGAGACAATACATTGGCTATGAATTCATAAATGGCCATATTTATAGTTTTGTTTTTTCTAAAACCTTTTTGTTCATTGCAAAGAATATTATTTTTCTCTAAATATGTGTTCATTTCACTGTACAGATATTTTTCAAATATTTTAGCAAATATTGGTATAAGTGCAATCGGTCTATAGTTTTCTAGTGTTTGTCTATTCCCTTTTTTGAACAGAGGTTTAATGATTGTTGTTTTAAGCTGTGTTGGAAATATTCCCTTCGCAATGCATAGGTTTAGTATATGACTCAGATGTTGGGAGATGGTTTCATTTACAGATTTTATTATTTTCGTGGAAATACTGTCATGTCCCACACTATTTGTATTTTTTAAACTTTTAATGATTTTATTAACCTGTTGCGCCGAAACAGGTGCAAGAAACATTGAGTTAAGAGGA